CTTGGAAGTGAGACGCTGCTTTCAGCTGAGTCCTGTGCGAGATCACCAATGATTACCTGGCATTTCTGCATCACAGGTAAAACCTCAGGTGAGCTCCCCATGCTTGCATTGCTGGAATGGAAAGAGGGCCTGATTCAGAAGACCTCCACCTTTTCTTCTCTAGTCTTCTTACCCTTCCTCCTGTGGTCAGGCAGGCTCTGTTTATTTGTTTTGAGAATTACTGATGAGAGACCTACATCTTGTAAAAGCCCCGCTGTTGTTGGACAGACGTGAATCGGTGTTGAGAAGGTGCCCAGGGCTCCCTCAACATGTTCATGTGGGCTAGTTGAGTACACACTTTCTTCTTTCTTTTTTAATAAAATTTTTTGTGTTTTTGGTGAAGGTTTACACAGCAGTTTAGGTTCCCATTCAACAATGTCTACTCAAGTTGTTCAGGGACGTTCTCAATATTTCTGTTTCCCTTAATCTAGTTTTCCTGCCCCCTTACCTTCTCATCTTCGTTTTAAAGTAATTGTTGACCATTTGGTCTCATATAAATGGTTTTTTAAAGAAGCACAGTCATCTTTTAGCTAAATAACGCCACTGTTACTTAGCTAAAAGATGATCTCTGGGGCTAGTTTCAGTTCAAGTTTAAAGAGCATCTCAGGGTAATAGTCTCAGGGAGTCCTCCAGTCTCAACTGGTCCAGTATGTCTGGGTTCTTTTGTTTGTTTTTTAGGAATCTGAGGTTCTGTTTTACGTTTTTTTTTCCCATTCTATCAGAATCCATCTGTTGTGGCCCTGACAAACTTTGTTTTTGATGATGTTCTCTTGCATAGGTGCTGCTTTGTGTGAAATATCCTGGTAAAGAGATTGTTTTCTCTAAGTTTGGATTTCTGAGTACTTCATTGTCTTTGTGAGCTGGGCTGATGTGTACTTTGGGTAGAATGACAAAGTTACCAAGCATCTGAAGAAATCATGGCTCCGTGGACCAGTGCTGGGTTCTCTAGGCTGCTGGCTGAAGTCACCCCTTTGGGAAAAGATAGAGACTGGTGATTTAGATAAAAATACAGTGTATAATGTAGAGCCTCTGTTCAAAGAAGTGCCTGTCACAGGACGGGAGCAGTTCTAAAGTCTTCGTCAGTCCTTGGCAGAATACGAAAAATAAGGACCCCAGAATAGGGGGTGCATAAAACCAAGTGTATTCAATTTAGTGGACTGTCTCATATTTTGAAATCACGTCCCTTTTGTTTTTTTAGTATTAAAATTGCCCGTTTTTAAAAAATGAGAGACTTTTCTGTGTTGTGCACAAAGTAGGCAGCAGTGAATATTTGTTGAGTGAATGAATGATTAAAATAATGGTGATAGTAAATAATTATGTTTGATTTCCGCCCCCCCAAATCTTTACCTGGCAAAATAAAAGTTGACTGCCCAATGTTGTCGTTGTTAGCTGCCATCAAGTCACCTCCAACTCATAGTGACCTTATGTACAACAAAATGAATCGCTGCCCAGTCCCATACCATCTTCATGATTGTTGGTATGTTTGAGTCCACTGCTGTAGCTACTGCCTCAAGCTGTGTCATGGAGTGTTTCTCTCATTTTTGCTGACCCTCCACCTTACCAGTGTAAAGCCCAATGTTGGCTTCCCAAATATTGCTCACTGCTCCAGGAAATTCACACATCTGGGAACCTTTGACTTAGAGGATGATTTGCATCTGAGCTTTATGGATGAGATTAATTCATGGTGTGTTCATTATTAAACCTTTATGGAGCATGTACCTTATACCAGATGCTGCGCTGGGCACACAGTCAAGGCAGTGAATCACATAGAGTCCTTGCCCTGATGTAGCTGGTCTGATAGCCCCTTTCTTAAGAAAATGTGATGACTTAATATGGACTAAAGCATCCCTGGTCTTGGTAAGTTGCATGAAAGGAGCTGATAGGAATTCGAGACTTGTGCTGGGAAAACTGTTAGCACCTTGGAAGATGCTAGAGGGTCCTGAATATCTCTCTGCTGCTGCCCGGTCTCTGCCCACGATTTGTTCTTCAGCCCCTTTCTATAAGTGCTTTTCATATAATGATCTACAACAGCTACTTGCTATTTTCCTTCAGGGTTTATGCAAGGTTTGCGAATATGTTTACCACATCTCAGACCTCGAGAGCATGGTTCATCGATAAAGCCCGCCAGGCCCGAGAAGAAAGACTTGTGCAAAAGGAGCGAGAGCGGGCAGCTGTTGAGATTCAGGCCCACGTCCGGAGTTTTCTCTGTCGGAGTCGACTGCAGAGAGAAATCAGGTGGGTACCAGGAACTCCTCGGCACATTTTTTCTCTTGCTCCGAATTGATAGAAAATACACAAGTGTTCTCTTACATTCTTGAAAAGTCTGCCAGCTACTGTGAGCTCCTAATTAAAAATGTCTTTTTTTCTTTCTTTTTTTTACCTTTCCCTCCCTAGGAGAGAGATTGATGAGTTTTTTAATGCTGATGACTCTGGGTCCAGTAAAAGAAGCGCAGTTTGTATTTTTCAGATTGCCCGGAAGCTGCTGTTCTTATTCAGAATTAAAGAGGATAATGAGGTAAAATGCTAATAGCGAATATACATAGGGCCTATTGTATGCCAGGTCTTTTTGTAAGTATTTCATAAATATTGACTCACTTAGTCCTTATACCAACTCTGTGAAGTAGGTACAATTGTTACCCCCACATCCTTTCCCTTTTGTTTTCCTGGGACCTGTTTTGTCGGGATTATGCCAGGATCTTTTGGGAGCTGTCGAGATTCTTTTCACATTGACTATTTCAAGAAGGAGTTAGAAACTCAAATGCCTACAGGACCCAGGCAGGTTATGTAAATGAGTTAACGAAGCCATTTGTGAGAAAAGCCACAATATGAGCCTGGTAATAAATGGTAACTAACAGACTGCAGAGTTAAGGACATCAGAGGGAACAACGGCTCTGTGGCATGCCATCCAAACGGCAGCTGCTACCAACTCAGCCGATGGTGGACCGACATGCTGGTGTTTTAGAGAGGTGCTGGGAATCCACATCTTTATGCTCAGTCTCATAATTTGTAAAAATTGGCAGCTAATTTCAAATTTCTTTTAAATCTTGCAAACCAAACAAAACATGCCAGTTTATACCTTTGGAATTAGAATCACTGGCTTGGAAAATACAGTTCCAGGAAAGCAACTAGTTATCTGTGATAGTAATGGTAATAATAAGACTAGGTACCACTGAGGATTACCTGTTATGTGTCACACAGGTTACCAAGCGTTCAAAAAAAAAAAAACCCAAACTCATTGCCATTGAGTCAAATCCTGTCTCATGGCAACCCGATAGGACAGAGTAGAACTGCCCCCATAGGGTTTCCAAGGCTGGAATCTTTATTGAAACAGACTGCTGCATCTTTCTCTCACAGAGCGCCTGGTGCATTTGAACCGCCAACCTTTTGGTTAATCACTGCATCACCAGGGCTCCATTACCAGCTGTTAGACACTCACTGTAGCTAATCCTCAGATTTATTTGCTCAGTAACTATTTCTTGGCACCCGCCATGTGCCAGGCCCTGTTTGAGGCCCTGGGGCCCCAAAGGATACAAGACAGGCCGGGTCTCTCCCCGCATTGAGCTCATAGCCCAGCAAGAGAGGGAAGAGTACACAGGTAGTGAACACACAATCACAGGCAGACTCAGTGGGGTGACCCCCGTTTTACAGAGGAGAAAGGAAACTGCAGTTAAGTGTGGGAAGGCAGCCTACCCTGAGTCATGCCACGTGTAATGGTGGGTCCAGGATTGATACAGCCAAAGGGTAACTCCTTTTCCAGTTTCCACTTTCTTACTTTTGCATTTCAGAATGAAAGTGACCATACAGCAGCCTTTGGCTGAGGTCTAAGGCAAAAGTCAGTATCCATGGTGCTTCTTGTTATTAGTTGCCGTCAAGTCAGTTGCAACTCGTGGTGACTCCATGTGTTACAGACTGGAACTGCTCTATAGAGTTTCCTTGGCTATAATCTTAACAGAAGTAGATCAGTAGGCCTTTCTTTGGTGATGCTGCTAGGTGGTTTCAAACCGCCAACCTTCAGGTTAGCAGTTGAGTGTAAACTATTTGTGCCGCCTAGGGTACTTACAAAATGGCAAACAAGAGAGCATAAAGCGATTTAAGAGACGGCTGAAATACACGCCCTGATTGTCTTTGTTTCTCAAAAGACGTCCCAATCTGGATTTTCATGTGAAGTATTAGTTTCTGAAACACAGTGCAGGTCAGATCAAGCACATCAGTAGGGCTTATCCAGCTGGCTGCCAGTTTAAGAGACTGCTTCAGCTTTTCTGATGCTTGTTTCCACATCTGTATGAAGGACTTAGATGTAATCATGCGTGTGAGTCACCTGGCGTAATATCCCACTGAGCATCCGCTCCCTTCCCTTTCCCACTCCTCATGACTAGTTACAGGACTTTTTGACCTCCCTCTCCATCCTGCTTCTTTGCAGAGATTCGAGAAGCTGTGTCGCTGCATCCTGAGCAGCATGGATGCAGAGAATGAACCCAAGGTAAGTGGACTTGGGAGCTGGAGAATCTCCCACAAGCACTCAGGAGCCAGCCCATTCAGTTGAGAAAGTCCTTGCTGAATGTTACATCTTTGTTAATTCATGTATATATGCAAATAAGTAATGGATGGAAAACATTAACATGAAGTATAAGTCACTCCTTAGTCTCTTCACTGTC